TACTTGATCAAAAAGGTAAGAGAGGGCTGGGAGACACAGCTTGGGTTGGTTTAGAAAAGGTATTCTGACCACAGTAACTTTTCTGTTGCTTAAGAAGTTTTATAGTTCTTGCACTAATGAAAAGTCTCCAAAGAATAAATTAAGGACCCTCCTATGCAATCTGACTTTAAGATGGGTGTGAACTTTAACAGTTCTGCAATGTGGCTTTATAGAAAATCTAACAGAAATTCATAGTCTCCACTTAACTCCTATGGCTTTGACCCAACTCCTTACTGCTGCTCCTAAATCTAGCAGTTCAGTCATGCTGAATAAAGTTCTGAAAAGGGAGACAAACCCAGGGACACTGTCTGCTTTTCAAGCTCAGTGCTGCTGGGCTGCTTGCTCAGGAGAAGGAAGCTCTCGGGAGCATTACAATATAAACACCTTCAGTGGCATCCTTGTCCTCTCCATCTGCTATACGCCAGGAAATACACCGTCAGTGTGATAGCCCAACATGTCTCCAGATAATGCAAATATCCTCCAAAGGGAGGAGATAATTCCTGGTTGGGAACAACTGCTTTGTGCTCAGTAATCGAAGGCATCTGCCAATAATGGACGCTAAGTATTTCAAAATTTTGAAAGGGGAGGTCATATGTACCTGTAGTGAGGTCAGAGGATCTTAGGAGGGGTCTCTCGGTTTCCACCTTTTTGAGTCTGAGTCTCTCTTGTTTGCTGTGCATTCTGCTATAGGCTTGCAGGTCCATGAGCTTCCTGTTGACTCCATCTCTACATCCCCTCTCACCACAGACAGTGGGATTACAGGTGCATGTCACATCACTCAGCTCTTTTGCTTGGGTTCCAAGCAATGAAGTCAGATTGCCAGACTTGCCAGGCAAGTATTTACACACTACCATTCTGCCGCTCCTCCAGAAACATGCCCTGCTCCTTTACCTAACGTCATGAACCAAAGGCAATAATCACCATTGAACTGCTTCTTTATAGCACAGAATTGTCTTTGGAAGCATCAAGAGTGATTCTGCATCATGGTATAGTGAATGTCCTCGTTGTCTACAGAAGCGTGCAAAGCAGCTTGTGCTGGTGCAAAACGGCCCTAGAGTTCTATGATGCTTAGTCTTACATCTCCCTTGCATTTCCATGCCCCTTCTTCCATTAGGCTGTTAGACATGTGCACTTGTTCTTGCTTTCTCACTGGTGATTGCGCCTGATACCTTGCACATGCTCAGTGAACAGTCCACCACAGCAATGTATCTACAGCCCTGTGGTTTTTAAATTATAATACAGTATCCTAATGAGAGCGTGAGTCTGACTGCATCTTACCTTAGACTTGCTTTTCCTTTTTATTTTATTTTATTTAAATAACATTTTCTCATTTATTTTACATACGGACCGCGGTATCTCCTCCCTCCTCTCCTCTCAGTCCCCCTCCCCCACTCCCCATCTACTCACCTCCCCTTCTACTCTCCCACCTCCACTCACAAAGGAAGCAGGCCTCCCATGGGCTTGAGCAAAGCATGGTACATCAAGATGAGGCAGGATCGAGCTCTTCCCCTTGTGTCAAGGCTAGGACTGATAAGTTCCAGGGACAGGTCCTGATCTCACTGCTAGGAGCACTACAAAGAGACCAAGCTATACAGCTGTCACACACATGTGGAGGGCCTATGTCGGGCCCGTGGAGGCTTCCTAACTATTATAGACTCACTTTTCTTAAATGGATTAGTCCCCACCCTTCTTAGTTTCTTATATATCCATGCCTTCCTAGAGTTTACAGTCTAGTGGGAAGAAGATTAAAATAATGTGAGGCATGGATGTGTTGCAGGGTGCATGGAAACATAAAGAGAGGATTCCAGATTTGTCTCAAAAGAGCATCATCTATTGCAAATGCTTCTTCACACTAGCTCATCAGTCTCCATATAAACAAGCAACAAACAACACCCCCTGGAGATGAGCAATACAAAATCCGTGCAAACACACATAGAACTTAATTGAGGAAGCCCTTCTGGAGAGAGTCACTTCTAAGCAGAGAGCCTCCGTAACAGGCAGCAATGTACACAGTAATTGGTAATCTTCATGATCTGCAAATAGTTTTAGCTAGAGCTAGAGAGCACAGTTGAAAACAGCAAGGTGCCGGGCGGTTGTGGCACATGCCTTTAATCCCAGCACTTGGGAGACAGAGACAAGTGAGTTTGAGGCCAGCCAGGTCTACAGAGTGACTTTCAGGACAGGCTTCAAAGCTACACAGAAATCCTGTCTCAAAAAGTAAACAAAAAAATAAGAAAAAGAAGAGGAAGAGGAAGAAGAAGAGGAAGAGGAAGAGGAAGAGGAAGAAGAAGAAGAAGAAGAAGAAGAAGAAGAAGAAGAAGAAGAAGAAGAAGAAGAAGAAGAAGAAGAAGAGAGTGAGGCATGAGAAGGAAGGGAGAAGCCTCATGAATTCCCAAGTCCTCTGTGAGGAGCTGGGGTTTGCTTTGAGGGCAGAGAGATAATACTGACTGGCATTAAGAATTCCTATATTAGCCAGGTGGTGATGGCACACACCTTTAATCCCAGCACTCCAGGGGTAGAGACAGGAGAATCTCTGTGAGTTTGAGGCCAGCCTGGTCTACAGAGCAAGCACTAGACAAAAGCAAACAAAAAAAAAGAGTTCCTATATTAGTCAGGTGAATTGGCACACATTTATAATCCCTGCACTTGGGAAGTGAAAGTAGGAGAATCAGGAATTCAAAGCCATCTTTGATTACATAGCTAAGTTGAGGCCAGCCTGGGGTATATGAGGCTTTGTCTCAAAAGAAAGAAAAGGCATTATGATGTTTGTGTTGAACAGAGATGTGCCTGTGGAGTGCAGTTGAAAGAGAGAATCCGTTTAGGAAGTGATTACGTTTGTGCAGCTGAGAACTAGCTGTGGCCTGAATGAAGGTGGTAAGGGCAGCCATATGTTCACTCTCACGACTGATAATCACTCCCTTCTACTGTTCATGAAAAGACTCAAGAGACGGTGGGAGACAAAATGGAACCAGGAATTATGTTTGTGATTTCTTAAATATGGAAATCAAGGCTGGGTCCCAATTATATCAAAAGATCTTAGTGTTTACTGCAGGCGCTCCCATTTTAAAATAAAAGTATCTTGGGCCAGTTTATGTCTAATTACAGAGAAATAGAAAACCCTGGACCTGCTGCTGGCTGTCTAGTTATTCCCCCCAAACTCTGCTAACATAGTTACCACACCCATTCAAACTGAAAGTTTAGAGTAGAAAATTGCTGACAGCCAAGCTTGCCAAGGCAAAAAGACTAATTATTAGCTACTGCTTTATTGATTAATTTAGTAGCTCACTTAAAGCACTGTCTGGACTGCCTGCTGCCAAGTATAACTTCACTTACTATCTGGAACAGAATGACCTGGAGAAACAGCTGAAACAATGGGTCGTTGCCCTTAACAACCTGACCACTGAAGCTGACTGCCTTGTGCAAACGAGGGCATGTTCTTGGTGAGCTTTGAAACAAACAGGATGTGAAATGTAGACATGAGTCCATGCACAGGCTTCATGTAAACAACGGTGAATAGAAGAGGCAGAGGCAAAAGGAAGACCTAGGTGATGGTGTCAGTCCGTGAGGAAATGGAGGGAGGGCCCTTCCTAATCCCAACTGCTTTCTGCGCTCCATCAGATCACCCACTGTCCCCAGGGACACCTGGCTTTGCAAAGCTGTTAAATGAACTGCTTCACTTTTGCTGCTTGGGAGTCTTTGTTTCCCACTGTTGCCTCCATAGCGTTTACCTTATGAGGTTGGTGTCTACTGAAATGAGAGGCCCATGGGGATAATGACTCTAAGTGGCCTCCGGTGGACATGCTCATCAGGCAGTTGCACATCTGCATCAACAGGAAGGAGACCCAGGACAGAAATCCAGATGCAGGGTCGGCTGTGGGTAGATGGAGTGGGAGCCACTGGCCGTGGGAACCATTGTCTAGGAGGACGTCTACGATAGAAACAGGAGGGTTAATAATGCTGGTCTGTCGGGGAGATGGAGAGAGGCAGAAGAGGGCAGTGACCGGGAGTAAGAAAAGGAGACTGTCCTAAGAAGGGAAGCCTCCACATTTGAGTCACAGAGACAGGAGAGACCCCGAAGTCTTCCTCAAGGAGCTCTTAGACATACAGGGGGAGGGTCTAGTGTGGGTCTTCTGGAACTAGAGTAGTAGACAGTTGGGAGATGTCATGTGAGTGCTGGGAGTTGAATCCGGGTCCTCTGGAAAAACAGTCAGTGTTCTTAACTCCTGAGATAACTCTCCAGTCACCCCCCCCTTCACACTTTCAGCCATCAGAAATTTTGAGCAACAAGTATCTGTTGTTTAAGTCAACCAGTTGTGGTGCTTTTCTTATGACAGTCCCAGGAAACAAATACATTCCAAAACTCAGGGCCTGCCCAACAGCCACTGCCTCACTTGGGGAGCAGAGTTTAGCCTGAGGCTGTGTGTATCTCCTAAAGGGCTTGGGATGACTACAACTCACGCATGCTGAGACTAAATACAGGGGACTCTGCAGAAGAATGAGCTCCCTACTTACACTCTGAGTTGTTTGGTTACACTCAGACATGTCAGCAAAGACAAACTGTCAGATCAATGCTTCAGATTAATTTACTTTTAATATTTAATAAAAACAACTTGATCTCTTACTACCCCACAGAATTTTTACATTCATAATACCATCTACATTCATATTACCATTCCTTAGAAACAAATTAGCTTATTTCTTTACTTAGAAATAAAAACTGGGGGCTGGAGAGATGACTCAGAGGTTCAGAGCACTGGCTGCTTTAGTCCTGAGTTCAATTCCCAGCAACCACATGGCTCACAACCATCTATAATGAGATCTGGTGCCCTCTTCTGGTGTGGAGGCATACATGCAGGCTGAACACTGTATACATAATAAATAGATAAATCTTTAAAAAAAATAAAATAAGACGGCAGTGGTGCTGGGAGTCTCGTGTTCGTGGTGCCGTTACCCGCAGTCGGGCGTCGGTTAGCGCGTTAGCAGCAGGAGCCGCCGCGGAGGCACCTCGGCGGTCAAAGCCCCTGCGCTACTGCAGCCCCCTCGCCTGCTCCGCTCGCTCTTCCTTCCTTCGCTCGCACCATGGTTGATCACCTGACTGAAGAACAGATTGCTAAATTCAAGGAAGCCTTCTCCCTTTTCGATAAAGATGGTGATGGGACCATCATAACAAAGGAACTCGGGACTGTCATGAGGTCACTGGGTCAGAACCCAACAGAAGCTGAAGTGCAGGATATCATCAAGGAAGCGGATATGATTGGGAATGGCACCATTGACTTCCCAAGGTTCTTGACCCTGATGATGAGAAAAATGAAAGATATAGACAGTGAAGAAGAAATCCGCGAGGCGTTCCGAGTTTTTGACAAGGATGGGAATGGTTACATCAGCGCAGCGGAACTGCGCCACGTCATGACAAACTTAGGAGAAAAACTAACAGATGAAGAAGTAGATGAAATGATCAGAGAAGCAGATATTGATGGAGATGGACAAGTCAACTATGAAGAACTCGTACAGATAATGACTCCAAAATGAAGACCCACTTTCAACTACTCTTCCCTCTAGAAGAATCAAATTGAAATCTTTTACTTACCTCTTACAAAAAAAAAAAAAAGAGGAAAAATTTCATTTATTCATTCTGTTTCTATCTAGCAAAACTGAATGTCAAACGTACCTTCTGTCCACATAAAAAATCTGCATGTATTGGTTGGTGGTCCTGTCCCCTAAAGATCAAGCCCCCGCATCAGTTTTACAGTATAAATACTCGTACTACCTTCTAAGGCAGCACCTAGTGGACTCCTTAAAGTTCCATTTGCTAATGATTAATACACTGTTTGGGCTGGCCAGTTTCTCATGCATGCAGCTTGAAGACTGAGCATAGTCCGGCCTTTGTATTCTCCAATTTGTTTGGATAAAATTGTCAGTAGCCAGTTTACTGCAAACAAACATTTAAAATTGGTTTACCTCGGGATGATGTGCAGAAAATGGGTGAAGGCTAACCTTGGGGACACAGCCCCAGAAGTACTTCAAGTGCTCCAACCCCATGGTGACAATAACTCCCTGGTGGCCTGCCCGAGTATGAAGGTTTAATGCTGTGTGCATTGTACCAGAGTGACATCAAGGCTGCCACCAAATCACACAAGTTTTCAATAAGAAATGTTTACCAAGGGAGCATCTTTGGACTCTCTGTTTAAAAACCTTGCGAACCATGACTCAGAGCCAACAGAGTAGGCTGTGGCTGCGGACTTGAGGACAACCATCGACATTGCTATTCAGAAAATTATCATTTACGTCCATTCCAAGTTGTAAATGCTAGTCTTTTATTTTTTCCAATAAAAAGACCATTAACTTAAAAAAATAAAATAAAAACTAAGCCAAGACAGGTGAGGTGGCCCATGCCTGTAGTCCGAGCACTGAGGAAGCATGTTGTGAGTTTGAGGCTAGTAAATTCCAGAACAGTCAGGCTATGTAGAGAGAGTCTGTTTTTTATAAGTAAATAAGTAAATGAATTAAATAAATAGATAAAAAGAAGAAAGAAAGAAAGAAAAACTATGTGATGGTTTATTTTCACTGCTGGCTTGACTGGGTTTAGAGTTACCAGGGAAACAGCTCCAGGTACATCTTTGAGGGCCTTTCTGGAATGGTTTAGCTGACAAGGGTGGACTCACCCTGAATGTGGGTGGCACCATCCCACGGGCTGAAGTCTTAGGATATGTAAGAGTAAGTGAGCTGAGAGCTCGAATCTATGGATCTGTCTGCTTCCAGACCATAGACACAACATGATCATCTGTGTCAAGCTGCCCTCTGAGCTCTGATGACCTGTGCCATCTCAAACCGTAAGCCACCTCTTGCCTTCATTTGCTTCTTTTCGGTATTTTTATTTTTCAGGGGGGAAAAATGAAGCTTTATTTCCCTAAATGGGTCTAGGATAGTTGGCTACTGGCCTTGCTATGTCTGGTCACTTCAAGGCAGAAAAACAGAGCTCTAGAAGACATGCTGATGGCATCTTTTCCCAAGACCCATTAGTTTCATACCTGGAGTCCTCCCTCACTCTCTCCTGACTTCCTGTCTCCTAAACCCCATGTTTCTATGGCATGAGCACTTTTAGGGGGGTTGCTCCACCTTCATCCTGCTTTGCAAGAAACAAACATTTTTGGCTTAAAATGGCACAATGGCAGCAGGGAAGGATGCCCCCGTCTCCCTGTTGTGATCCTATCCTGTGTGCGCTTGTGGGAATCCCTGTGGCCTTTCCATCTGGCCTCTGATGAATGTCCACAGCTCGGTGCTTTGGGTGGCTCCTGCCTGGGCACCTGGTTGTGAGCTCAGGGTTGAGGCCCCACTGTCCTGACCCTCAGGTCCTTCCCGGCTCCTGTCTCTCAGCACTCCCATGCCTGTGTAGCTACACTCCCTAACTAACTGGAGGGGGACACAGCCTCAGAGAAGCTGGTATGGGTCTGTCTCAGTGCTTCTCCTATCTACTTCTGTTCCGCCTCCTGGGGTCCTGTGTTGGGACAGTGTTCCAAACACAGGAATTTGGAGGATGTTTGCAGCTTCACTGAATCTTACATCAGGAAACAGGAAATTAGCCATTGACCATCTCTACATGTCTGTGGGCTGCCATCAGTCATGCTGACCCCAATGGAGTTGAGGAATAGGGCCACACATGTGACACTTAATCCACCAAATTTCTGCAAGCTCCTCTCCCAACCTGGAAGTGGGCTTGCTGTATCACATTCTACGGTGTCTCTTTTCAATGGTTTATGATACACCCTTGGAGATGAAATCTCTAAGCTCATTTCTCAGTGCTTGGAGACAGAGAGAGCCAGCTTCTCACTGCTACTTTAAATTTATTTATTAATCACATTATTATTATTATTTTATTATTATTAATTTTTATAGGTGTGTGGGTGTTTTGTTTCATGTATGTACGCCATATGAGTGCCTGGTCTGCAGAGACCAGAAGAAGGCACTGGATCTCCTGGAGCTGGAGGTTGTGAGCTGTGCATCAAACCCTGTCCTCTGGAAGAGTAGCCAGTGTTCTACCCTGAGCTATCTCTCTAGCCTCTTGTTGCTACTTTTCTTAAAATGGACTTTACCTATTTTTATTGATATTTTGCAAGATAACTTATGTGTACTAGGCTGTAAGTCAAGCCTTAGAAAACATAGAGTGTCTGATGTGGGTGGCAGCAAGGGGCAGATTTGCAGTGAGGATCCAGAGATGATGATGTACCAGATAGCAGACCTGTCTGGCCTTGAACCAGACCAGTGACTCATTGCAATGAGCATGTGCAAGTAAAGTTGACTGAGCAAAAAGATATACTGTGTGACATACCGAGGCTCCCAATGCCACCAGGACAAATGGAGAGGTGTTGGGGCATAGTGAAAGATGGAGGAGCAAAGAGGCTTTTTGTTGTTTTGTTTTTGTTCTTTTGCTTTTCTTTGCTTATTTTGATTTGATTTTTTTTTGGAGTGATGCTGCAGAGGGGAGGGAAGGATATGGAAGGACTGGGAGGTGAAAGGAATTGGGGTGCACGATATGAAATTTGAAAAGATTCAATAAAGAAATTATGTTTAAAAATTTAAAGGACAAAAGGAATCCCAACTCTGTTACTTTCTAACACTGTGACCTTGAGAGGATTTTTGTTTCCTCAAGCACAAAATAGGGGGGGAGAAATAAAATCAGATTCCCACATTTGTTTTACAGATTACCAAATAATTCTCATAGGGTATTCAATGTAATGTATAGCACTGAGTTCTTGGTTTGAAGATCCCCCCCCACCGTCCATTTTGCAACAAAGTAGACTATGAATGGATGTCAGTAGAATGTACTGAACGTTTTAAGCAACAGTGAGGTAATTTTTTGTGTACCAAGCACTCACTGGCAGCCTGTAGACTCTTAGACCTTCCTTATACATGGAGAAGGTGCAGAACAAAACACCAGGGTTCAAAGGAGGAAGAGGGGCTTCAAAAGCAAGGTAAACCTAGGGACTCTGAGGCCACGAGGCACAAAACTACAGGGAGGAATAAATGGCCAAAGGCAAATCGTGCAGAGAGCCTTTCAAAGTTCAGGTGCCACCGGGTTAAGGAATAAAGATAAAGACTTAGGGACAGCAGGAGTGGACAACCCTTTAAAAGAAGCCTGGCTGTGAAGACAATAGGGCATCACCAGAGTGACTGGAGCTTATGTTCTAAGTTGGGGCTACATCCTGGTTCTTACCAAGTTTCAAATGAGTCAGTAGGAGAGGAGGAGAAAGGTAGCTTAGAGAAAGGATACCCAAAGCAGGTAGAAACAAAACTCCAGCTTTGACAGAAAAAGCAGTCTCCTTTGTCCTGGCATTGGCAGAAGATGGGTCCAGAGAGACGGTAATGCACAGGCGGGAGATTACATCTGCCCAGCTAGTTACAGTCACAGCCACCTCCTAAACAACACACCAGTAAACTGAGCCCTTTAGTATTTTCATACTAAACGATACAAACCTAATAAAATAAATTGATATTGAACTGATTCCCAAGTTTCTACCAAGAGCCAATGTTCTCTTCACTTGTAAAGAATTTTCAACTACCGCCAGGTGACGAAATTTTGCTCCATTAATTTTTCTTTTGACTCCAATTTCAGCACGAGCTATGTTTAAAGGTGAATGCTCTGCCAGCTGCATGCTGTTTCTAATGTTTACTTCCTGGATAATATCAATTTTCCAGACCAGGTACAGGATAAATGAAAATTTTGCTTTGCCTAAGTGTTACATCCTGCTCAATTTGTCTCTAAAGGAAATGGGATGCGAATGTGGTTCATTTTTCTTTTAAGAACAGGGCAATAATGATGAAAGAGAGCAGACACAAGACATAAATGTGACTCTTTACTGCCTGAAAAATCATTTTGAATTTATAATTCTTTTGAAACAAAAGTTTATGCTTAAAAGAATTACCACCACCATCATCACCATCACCATCATCACCATCACCACCACCACCATCACCACCACCACCACCATCACCATCACTACCATCACCATCATCACCACCACCATAATCACCATCACCACCACCACATCACCACCACAATAATCACCATCACCACCACCATAATCACCATCATCACCACCACAATAATCACCATCACCACCACCATAATCACCATCATCACCACCACCATCACCACCACCATCACCACCACCATAATCACCATCATCATCACCACCATCATCACCACCACCATTAGCATTTGCATACATGTGCCACAACAAGGACAACTACGTGGAGGCCATTCCCCCTGGCAGGCTCTGGGATATCACCGCACTTGTATTCTTTGCAGGCTGAAGATGCTTACTAGTCTGTTAAGACTTGTTTCTACCATTCCCACGTGGTCTTCGAGTTCATTACTAAGAACCCTTCATTAAAAGCCAAGCCACCTAATTAAGAATCACTTAACAAAGTGTTTTCAGTTAATGAGGCAGTTATTTAGGGGAAATAAATGTTTTGTTTCACCACGGGTGCAAAGCAGGATCTTATGTATTAGCACAAAGCTGCCTTTCCTGCTGTGTTCAACCTGGGTTGGAACCCCGGCTCTGCTTATGTCCTAGCCCACTTTCTGTTGGACAGCAGGGACACGTGAGACTGAGTAACTTACAAAGGACATACATTATTTGTGTTCGTGATTTTGGAAGTCCAAAGCTGGTGGTTTCCTCAGGTAAGTGAAAGGCCAGCGGGTCTGTTGAGAGAACTAAACCACAAAGGGAGGGCTGGCTCGTTCAAATGCATCTTTCCCCTGCAACAATCAGGAATCCAGGCAATCAGCTGACTTTCCAGCACCACAAGAAACATCTTTAGGCTGCTCATTGCTTGGAGCCTCTGTATTCCAGTATTTGTCCTAGACACAAATTTTAGGATCTGAGAGAG